TGGCACAATATCAAGGCCACAGGTAATTCATCTTCTGGCTCTAGCTCTGCTTTGCGACCTAATTAAATGAATAAAGATGTGAAGAAATCTTCATTTCCGTAGGGATAAACACATTGCTTCCTGGGAAAGGTAAGAGGAGAGGCTGGCTTTGTAAAGGAAGAATAGAGGCAGATGAGAAACCACTGGCTGGGAGATAGTGAATGGCTGAAGACATTTGAATAGTGAGGGGGAAAACAGTGTTCTGATTTACATGCAGCTGCAGTTGCTGGCTCATTTGTTTTGATAATAGCTCATCCTGCACACGCTTTAAGCAGAGCTGACTCCACCATATATATCTGAGTTAACAAACATTTCACTTCTTGTGTTAACACTTCACAACGAAAGCGATGGGCGTTATACGAGACAAAGAAGCAGCTTGTGTCATAGGCACAAGACACACTCGAGTGCACTGCCTGACAGTTTAAATACCGCCTGCCTCATCACTGAAACATCTGGCTTGTATTTGGTGTCGGCTGCAAAAAAAAGCGCTCTTTCTTACAACTTAGTTCCCTCACTTTCCCCACTCATCAATTTTAAGAAGTATGCAAATGGACAATTCCTCCGGCCTCACTAGGAGTCCACACGGTTACAACAACACAGCAATAAATTCTCATTAAGGCTTTCCTTCCTTGAAAGGCGAAATTGAAGTTGGGATATTCGTGTTTATAGTCCCAGGCAATTGGAACAAATGAGGAGATCTTGTGGAGGGAAGATAGGCTTCCAGCCTTAATCGTGTCCCCCACCCTCTCACCCCTCCACTGGCTCCATGGGGAGTGTCAATGATGAAGTCAGCCACGGGGAGCGACGGCCCTGCACCACTGTGCTCAGCCTCTCTCCCCTCTGACAGGCCCATATTTCACCAGACTCATTCTCCAACCTCCACTGTCACCGTTTCCTGTGCTGTCAGGGGGACGACTCCCATCATCAGATCGGTGATTTCACAGGCTGGTGGCAGCAGCACTCCCTCGCTGTAGCTGACTAACATAGCACCGCTCCAGACAGCTGGGTGACCCCTCCTTAGTAGCTGGCAGGGTGCTCTGATTCCTCTCATCATGTACATGTAAAGATGATCTAGTATGGGGATGCTTGCTGCATGGTGCCAATAGCTTTTGGGAGTTGCTGTATTTGACTGAGTTTGTATCAACAGAAATATCAACAACATGAAACACAAAGTCTTTGGAAAAACAACAAGGGTGCAGTCCCAGCTGAACCTTTGTTGTATTACTACAAAGCTGGACATTGTCAGAAGTCGCTTTGCCGTTAAAGGAATCGTTCGACATTTTAGGAAATACTCTTATTTGATTTCTTGCAGGAGCTGGATGAGAAAATTGACATATTTGTCCAGTAAATATGAAACGTCAGCCTGCAGCTGGTTAACTTAGCTTAGCATAAAGACTGGGAGCAGCTAGTCTGGCTCTGTCCAAAGGTAAAGAAAATCCAGACTCCCTGGCCAGGAGTAGTAACTTCCTGAAGTCGTGTCAGTGTGAGGTTGCCAGACAACCAGCAGAGACTCCAAGAAGTCACTGCATCAGCCAAGTAATAATTACCCCTTTTATATTTTGGTTTTTGTACAAATTAAACAAGAAAGATATATTGTGTTAAATAGAAGGGCACTCAGAGAGGCCAATAGTCCAGTCTTTTATGATATGCAAATCTGCAAGCGCAACCACCATATAATGTCTGTATTACAAATGACTTCTTGCAATGTTAACGGAAGTGAAAAATAATTTGTGTATCTGATCTGTGATTCAGATCCTTTCCAGAAGTTAATGGGTTTTCCTTGGCCTATACTTCAACCTACAAAGTTTTGTGAAAATTGGGCCAGTAGTTCTGACAAACAAACAAACAGCACCGAAAACATACCGTCCTTTTAATTGGCGGAGGTAATTAGTGAGCTTTAGATGTGCTGGTGTGTAGATTTTGTAACCTTTGTTACTTAGTAACTGTACTTATTCTTTTTATGCTTTTAAGTTTTTATTGTAGTTTATTTTTTGAAGCCAGCTTGATCATTACCTACCCAGTTTGCAAAAACCCCAGGCTGCAGACGTACATTCACAAAGGCAGAAGAAAATGACTCACTCCCAGACATTGATTCCAGTCTGTTTCTTTAGGTCATTTGGTAAACTCAACCTAAACCTTGTTTTAGATTCTTGTCATGTGCTCATTATTAGTCTTTGTCAACTTTGTCTCCCCTAGACCAAAAAAGAAAACTCTTAACAAGTAGCCTATAGTGAATGGCAAAATGGCTAATGAGTCAGCTGGATTTCCTTTTATGAATTACCATGTTTGGGGAAAAGCACTTCCTATTGAGCCCTTTTCCTCATCTCAGCTTTGTTACATTTTACCTGCAAGATATCTGAGTGAGCCTGTGACCTCAAATAACTGTTTTATAGGAGACTTATTGGATGGTGAGACCCCAGCCCCATGAGCAATGCATGACTCCACGTCTAAACACCTTTGTCCAGCTGGTAATGTGTCCATGTGTTTAACAGCATGAAAGGGCACTCTATCTCCATCCCTCCTGAGAAATACGGTAAAACAAAAAGGCCCTCTGTGTTCCCCAACCTTAGGTGTTACAGTGCCCTTTATGTGGACCTCACCTCCAGGGTCGGATCTGAAGGGGTGGCCGCTGCTCCTGAGAAATACTTTGCCACCCCAGCTGCCACTCCTTTTTGGTATCAAATGCTGTCACATTTAACACATTAATATAGATTAATAAAAAATAATAATACAAAAAAACATGTTAAAAAACAGGAATTAACAGGTATAATTTAAAGATCTGTTACTAATGTTTGCCCCCCTGCTCACCTCCTCCGAAGGGCAAAGTTTTAGGAGTTTTACCCGACTATGCAGCGTTTCAGCATCTCTCAGCTTATTGGTTGTTTTTTAGGCCAGCAACTTTACTGTTTGGGTTCACTCTCCAAACAGCAGGCCACTTTCACTAAAAAAGCTCTAACAAAATAAAGACCTCCAGGAAACCTGCTAAACAGACAAAGTTAATGACTAGCAGGTCAACATAGTGGAGCATTTAGCAGCTGAAGAACCAGATAGTTCCCTCAGTTGTTAGTGGAGACCAAAAACAGAGCAAAAGAGAACAAGTTCACCAGTGTCACAAACAAGTCACTCAAGTCACTGCAGCACTCCCAACACAGGTAGAGACTATGTAAAGTATCTTGCTCAAGAGTACTTTGATAACAAGGTTAAAATCTATTTGTGATATGGCTGCAACAACAACCAGTAGCCCACTGTAAACCCATGTTAAGACACAGTTGGAATTTAGTTCAGATCTGCATGTTTTGCTCTAGCGAGGATGAAATGATTAGAGGCATGTAGATGGATGTTTTTCCACCCATGTTTTACAAGTAGACAAAATCGAATTTTAAAAGGAAAGGCATCTGCAGAGTCTTGATTTGTTATAAATCAATGATAATATTTTGTAGCTGAAAACCAGTGCTGTTTACCTGAAGACGGTCTTTGCTATCACCACTTTTCACAAGAGATTTCCATGTGTATAGCAATTACAGTGTTTGTTGGTGGCTGCTGGTGGGTCCTCTGGGTATCTATATCGCTGTATAATTTCATCCTCCTTTCCACTGAGTAATTCTATATCACTCTCACAACAGAGGGAGAGGCAGACAGAAGGAAAGAGGACATCCACAGTTAAATCCATTTAGAGTGTATTTTGAATCTAATTTAAGATGGTCACCTGCTCACAGGATGTCAAGGGAAAAATTGAGTTTGCCGTCATGTAAGTTTTAAAAAATGAAATTTTTGCTCAGGCAAGTAGTATCAGTCATCCTAACTATCTCATATTCTATATGTGCTTGTTCAGACTTAAATAAATATATCACTTGGAAGAAAGATTTAAGTCAAATAGTGCCCCCGGAGGACAGTCAGTGTGACTGGTAGACAGCCATAGAGAACCAATACTACCACCTGAAGGCAAATAATGTGCCTCCTATTTTTAATTTCCTATTTTAACAGTGTTTAAATGTGGCTGCAGTAACATTTGCTGTGTGTAATGTATTGGAAACAATTCAAAATCGCATTTTAATGATTGAGTACAATGTCTTGATTAAATGGGGCAAATAACAAAATACTCAAACAAGAAACAAAGAGGCTTCATACAAAGCAACCTCTTTGAATAACTGCAGAATAATAATATAACAAACTTTTTGCAATCTGTGGAAATTAAACTTAGCAGCTCGTCTGAAGATTTTATATAAACAATAAGGATGTTCAACATACTAAAATCCTTGATCTCAGCCTAACCATGAAGGTCATAACTGTCAAGTGGCTACAGTACCTTCACATATCAACATGATTTGTTTTAGGAAAAAACAAAACAAGACCTCATATTTTTGGCGGGCATAAAAAAATTAAAGACTTTATGGAGAATGTGGCTGTTACAGCTTCTCCAAACAATAGAAACACGAGCAAGGATTATTTCATGTCATAATCTTTTAAGGAATATAAAGAATACAGGATGAAAGTAAATATGGATTATGGTATAGTTACCAGAGGTCAGAGACAAACTCTATAAAACCCCAGCTTGGTGGGAGGAGAGCGTGAGCAATGATCTGCCATTCACTACCAACGGTCCTTAAGGTACCTTTGAGCAAGGTTTTTAACCCCCTCCAGTAGAGCTGCTTATCACCCAACAGGTTGCAATACTAGGCAGCCAATTGACCATATGTGTACTGTAACTGTGTCAATGTGATGCAGATTGCTACTAAAATAGAGCATGCATGTCATAAAATATATTTGTTGCTATGAGCGGGTGCGTAGTGATTACCTCGATTTCCATAGCCCACATTCAGTGTGATGGGGGAGGAAGAATGAAAGGGCAGGGGGAGGGAGGGGGACACAATGAAAGAGAGACAGAGAAAAAGAGAGAAGCAGGCAATAGAGGGGATAAATGCAGACTATGATCTGTGAAGGATGAATGAAGGTAATCTGTATATGTTGGAGCTTTTTATTTCATACTAAAACCACCAGTGCCTCTCTGTGGTCAAACTGCCACACCGCAAGAGAAAAGTTGTCTTTTAAACACTCTGCATTTCACATAACAGTTTATAAAAGAGCACATGCTAAATTGACATTCAGTACAAAACTGTCACATTTCAAATAAACTAAAGGTGACTAAAGCACATATTTCACTTTTTTTTTCTTCTGAATCTACATAGAACCATAATTATAAATTTAATTGTGAGGTAAATCATCAGTGTGAAGTAGACATGTCATCGAGAAGCTACATCAAAGAGTCAGCTTTAGTGTTTAAATTTTCAGTTTCTATTAAATCCAAATGAAGAGTTGCAATAATACTGTTTCCTATTTTAATACAGACAGACTTCCTTTCAACATTACAACATTCTTCCATTTCACAATGCAATCACTGATAAACTGCATAGAAATATGATGAAATTATGCTGAGATCCTGTAAAGTAGCGTGATTTGTAATGTTACAATATTACACGTGATCTCTTATATACCTTTGAATTTAAAATACAAGAAAAGTAACTTTACATCCTAAACAGTTTATTGTTCTAATGCACAATTGCATTAGTGCATTGGTAAATACATTAAATAAGATAATACTAAATCATTGAATATCTATCAAAACATCAAAAGTCCCTGTACATCAAGTGTTTGTATTTTTGAAGAAAAAAAAAAAAAGATATTTTTCTCTTGTACAAATTGCTAGAACTGCAGCTCAACACAAAGAGCACATCAGCACACTGCTCTCATGGAGCCACTAAAGTAATACACATTCAAAGCTAGTTTCATTTCAATCTCCAAAACAGGAAAGAAACAAATGAAATTATCTAAAACACAACAAATAAATATCATCCTCTTTAATGCAGGAAGGCGAAAACAAGCTTTCCACAGATGTTCAGAGCTATGTGTTGCCAAATGATGAAATTGCTTGAAATCGCTGCTGAATCAGTAATTTGGCCAAAAATGTAAAAAAAAAAATTAACAGTGATGTTTCTGAAACATTTTTTTTACTTAAAAATCAACAATATCATGGGAAATGGTCAAATATTCTAACCCTGTTGCTCAGACTTTGGCATAAATGTTGCGTCATTTCTTTGATACCTCGATTTTGCAGAGGCTACATCTGGTTATCATTATATTGTGGGCTGGAGTACTGGTCCTGCATGGCTCCAGTAGCTGCCCCCATGGCGGCCTGCTGGGCTGCTTCCTGCACATGAGGGTTCTTCCAGGCTCCTGTGGCCCATTCCTCCTGAGCTTTGGACATGCTGCCCCCACTGCCACGGTAGAAGTTATGGATCTGCAGACAAGATGGTATTGCAAGTTATTACAGACAAGCCTTCACGTGTGGAAGATAATAGGTGTTAATTACTTTAGTTCAGGGCCCAAACCTTTTTCCTTGGATGGCTAAAACTGAAACTTAATGGTGGACCACATCACAAAAGCAAACAACTATTTTATTTATTGATTAGATACAAAATGGTACAAGTTGCCTTAATTGACTGACATCGTACGCAATGTGTATTTCTCATAATATGCCCATATTATGAAAAATAACTAATAATTAATGATGCTACAAGGTTAAAGAGCATTTTTATCTCACAAAAAATAAAACAGCATTCAGTTCTAATTTTATAAAATTATTTTTTATTTTTCAACTTTGCCCCGAAGGGCACACTTTGGTGACACTGCCTTAGTTAACTTTACTACATAAAGTTTTAGAGTATTAGCTAATCAGTAAATCTTTTTAGGGAATACGGTGTTTTAGGTACAGCGAAGGACTGAATGGAATTCATTTTAAACCTAACAATGTTGGTTTATTGATATGAGAGAAAATTAATCAATCTCAAATTGTGGACTGACCAAAGGCTGTAAGACTATTTTCTACCACAATAAGGTAACTAATATGCAACTAAAGACATAGTGGAAGTCACATACAATGACAGAAAAGTGAGTCAAATAAATTTCCTCTCTACATTTTCATTTTGTGGAGAAAGAAAAGTGAAATTCTTACCTTGGTGAGAGCAATGAAGGACAGTGAGGCGACTGCAGTGAACATGATAGTAGGGACCAACATGATCAGCGCAATAAAAATGTTATAGCTGAAGAAGGAGATGGTAGCTAACCAACCACTGAAAAAGACAGATGGTCATTAACACAATTTCATCAGAAAAATGATTCATTTTAGAGTATGAACACAACATGAACCATAAATATCTGTTATCGGATTGCACGGTGTCTCTCATCATGACACTACCACTGAACATCTGGATGTTAAATGCCAGTAATTTTGTGGACTTTAAGTACTGCAATATAAAGTTTAAAAGTTTTATAGCTCATACATGAGAATAGCCAATTGCACATGGTGACATTTATACACTTTATGGTGGCTGTCATAATATTAATTTCTGATCATCAGCCTGAGTCAGGTGACATTTTGAGGATCTCTTTAACGGCCTCTCAAAATCTAATAACAGGACTATCATAAAAGTTATATGAGGGCAATTTCTGATGTTCCATCACTGTCATGTTAATGAAAGCAGTGATGAAGGTCTTTAAAAAAAACTCAAAATGTTTAAGTCAAAGGTAGATTTTGTAGCCTTGTTAAAACAATTTCTGATTGTTAACGTTAGCTCTTGTTGAACATGCAATCTTATTCTCTCTAAAATTTGAAAAACAATTTGAAACAAATAAATTCCATGCATTTTCAATATATCACTCTTACCATACTCCCCATCCAGGGATGCCTATGCTTTGGATGATGCTGATGCCAACTTGGGCCATGAACACAAAAAAGAACTGCATAAAGTTGAAGGAGCTGTCACTCCTACAGAAAAACAAACAGATCAAGAAATATTTACATGCGCACACAAAATATATTACTACTCTACATCTAATCTTGCACTCGCATCTTGTGTGATATTATTCATCCATCCACCCATCTATTATATACAACCGCCTATCCTTTCCAGGGTCCTTCTCCTTCTACGAGTGCGTGCCACCCCTGGTCCCCCTCTCTGTAGGTAATGAATATGTGCTTCTATGAGCTGATGCCTTGATCTTCACCATGACCCACATTCAGCATCAGGGCACCATCTACTTTACTAGACAACAAGTCGGCTGTCCCTGACTCTGCAAACTGGTCAAGGAGCAGGAAGCGTACCCATGCTAGAAGATAAAAGAATGATTTAAGGTATTTCTTTTGGCAGCCCTTTTAATTGTGCTGCCCTTCAGTGAAGGTAGATTGAAGATGTTCTGGGTGCCCTTCTGCTTCCAAAGGGACGAGCTGGATCATTTATCTCTGCTGCCACTCAACACTTTAAGAGAGTGGAGAAAAAATTAGCCCTAGATGAATATAAATTATATACACTATACTGTAACTACGGACTGCAAAATGGTGCCATGTGGACCCAATGAGTTTCTCACACAGAAAATCTTTTTTGTTTTGCATCTTCACATAAAATGGCATTAGATGGAAATGCCCTGTGATCTAGAGTAGTCCTCTACTCTACCAAAGTGAACTAAAATGTGTGTGTGGATATGTAAAGAGGGGAGGCCAAACTCTAACACCCTATCAAAGGACTACACCAATAATCACTGTAGTATTATTACAATATGCAATCATAATTGCTGTCTAAGCCAGTAATAATATGTTATTTGATAACATAGTATACATTATATATGATACATAAGGATTTATTAATATATAATTATCGCAATAGGGGGGAATTGTACCGCATTGGTAGTTGCTTTATATGTATCTTTAATGTACTGGATCGTTGGCTATGCATAGAGATGTGATTCGCATCAGCCTCAGTGATGAAGATGCACATCCTCAGCTGTGCCAGCAAAATGCACAGCTGTATAATGAGTTACTGCTGCAGCACTGACAAAAAAATATTTTAAAAGTCAGTACATCATATTTGACTCACTTGAAGGCCTTGTAGATGGCCCTGAACCAACAGACATAAGAGCAGGGAGTGAACATGATGAGCCAGATGATAGCCAGTCCAAAGTTGGTCACGCCACCTCCACCAAACATCCAGGCAAAACATCCAATGAGATTCACCGCAAGAGTAGCACTATTCACTGTAAGGACAAAACAGACATACTGTATTTTAGGTATTGATCCAAAAAAAAATCTAGTGGGTTTATCTATTAGGTTCACATACACAGACATACACATGCAGAGAAAAGATTGGAAAGTGGATATGACGGCACCCACATTAGCATAATGTGAAATATGTAATTGCAATGCTTGACTCACAAGATGGCTTGTGTTCCCTGAATAGCCTTTTTCCGGGTGTCCTTGTCTATTAATTCTCAGTACTGTTATGAGGCTACAGTACTCCCCGCTTAAGTCACACTTAGTTCTAATTGGAGCTCTTCGCTTTAGTCCCATCTCTCTTCCCTAAAGTAGCAGAGAAGGCCAATCAGCTTCAAATGTCGGGCTATAGAGAAAATGCAGAGTGCTTTACAAGAGAATTATGAGGCTAAACACAGCTGCAACATGACAGCTATTAAGGAACACAGTTATGTTTCGTAATTACACAACAGAAAAAAAATACTGTCTGGCTTCAAATGATTTTCACACATGAAATGAAAAAACATACTCAGAAAACTTAAGAACAAAACAGCAGAACAGCACTCAAAAAGAAAAAGCAATGTGTATGCCATACATGCACACTGTAGCATATGGCAAATGGCAAATCCAAATGCAGCAAAGACCAATACAGAAAACTGCTACAGAAAGAAGAAATAATAGCACATTCAAGAGCAGATTGGAACGTTGAATACCTGCTTATGTTTATCGTTTACTAAAAACGAAGTCGCCTGCAGAAAGAAAAGAGTTTAGTCACAATGATTGATAGTTCAGAGTGATATATGCATATTTCTTGTATTGCATAAATGATTTCTTCAAAAGGAAAACATCTTCTGTTCTGTTGACTGTGTGCTGACTCCAAACACAATGAAACTGTGGTTAGCAGCAGGTATATAGGAGTGGAGAGGCACTTCTGGACTTGCTTCACCAAAAATCAGTTACATCCCTGCCTCAACCCCAAAGCTTCACCTTTGTTTTAATTATTTACACATTAATCTACTTCTAATTGGCTTATTGCCCTATTCCTAATGGCTAAGTTAGTGTCATTGCCACTATGTAAATGTTGCATGCCTTCATGGACGGCCAGGGAGCTTCCAGACCAGAGCAATATCACAAATATCATTGTGCTGCTTGTTTATGGTGTTATAAACTTTGATGAAAGTGCTTCTGGCAAAAATTGTTTAACACAATTTCAACGTTAACTGCTCTGCTCAAACCAAGGCCATCTGGTCAGCGCTATGACTCATTAGCAAATAAACCAGTCAGGATAACAGCCAATGAAAATAAAATAAAAAATCTTTTTGGACCAAAGAGACCCTTGTAAACCACTGCCCTTCTGTTACATACTTCTTATCACTTATCATGTGTTAACAACTGGGGAGACTTTTTATAGGATCTCCAGGAAAGTTCTGATGATTTTTTTCAGTTATTATATTGGAGAAAAAAGGTAATTTTAAAGTTTTAAAGGTGAAATTGAAGTTCTAAAGTTCATGTAGTTGTCTGACACAAGTATTATGTAACATTCCACTCTTACAGCAATACAATATCACTTTAAGGCACTCACACATCCACAAGTGGTACATTTTCTTGCACATGCTGCGGTGCTGTTCAGGGATCTCATCGAAGTCCTGGTAGAAGCATGGCCTGAGTGGGATGAATCCCGGCAGTGGGGGAAAGTTGGGCTCTGAGACAAATCATTTCACAACAGTTAGACATATGGCATATGGTGATCTTCTAGTTTCAAGTTCTATATTGTCATACGCACAACAATTAAAATTAAGCAGTTGTTGGCAGTCCAATTGTTAGATATCAGGCTCCAACAGTGCTCTTATGTATATCAAATATGTCAACAGAAAAAACAGTAAGAGGAAGAAAATCTAATATATAATATGATATTTAACTAAATGTAAAATAAAATATAATACTGCGGTAGCTTGGTGAGTAAAATGTAAACTTTTATGTAAACATGCTGTGCAGTGATGTATCAAATTATATACATAATGCAAACAGGTTGCATATACTGTAATGGATAAACAGCTTGCAGGGTTAGGCTTGCAGACAAATACTAAAATAAATACATACTGAGTAAACAGGCTGTAAAGGTTGTGTAATTAACCTACTTACCGGCCATGTGGATAAAGTGTGGAGTTTACAGCTCAGATTTCCTCCTTCTTCAGTCTCTTGGGCCTGTCAAACAGGAAGGAACTAGGGGTTAGGCCTGTTGGTGCTGACTTATTGATACATCCCTTATCCTATGTGGTTTCATTTTTCAGTTATGTCCATGTGCGTGTCATACTGTAGGCGTTGGAGCAGGTCTTATTGGACCAGGACACACTTTATGAGAGGAAGGCGTTTAACAGAGGCTGCTATAAGCTAAGCGTCGACACGTTCTGCCGTCGGATTTAATGTGTGAGCCCTCAAGGCACCGACTCACTGCTGCTGATAAGATTTTAACGACTGAATCCTTCCGGTTTCAGTCGAGCCACCACACACACACACACACACACACACAGGGAGACTGGGAACGCACACGCTGGTTGCAGTCACATGCGAACTCCACTGGCTATAAATGAACCGATGTGCGAAGACAGTTGGATATTTCCTCAGAGAGCTGGCCATAACTAGACAGGAATTACGGATTCCACAGGAAACATAATCTGCTTACCTCCTCCAGAGAGCAGCCGCCTGTCTGTTTAAAGTGCACAGTCTCCACAAAGCTTCAGTAGCTTGTTGAAGAGTAGGACTCACTGCCAACCGGACGATATCTGCAAGCAAACTATTGTGTTACACTATTATAATACTTTCTTCTGTGCAGTATGACCAGAGGGATAAATCCTAACTACCCTTATTTTCGACCAATCACCGTGCTGGAGTCCGCTGTCACTTTGATTCAGACCAATAGGCAGATTACTCTAATCCTTGACGTTGTATTGTTGACCCAATCACTGTTTAGCACTCTGTCCATGGTGCTGAATCTGGCCCACCGACCGAGGTAAACAGTGTGGCATTACACTGAAAACTACCAGCCTCATAGCTGAGCTTTTATTTCAGTAAGGATAACAGCCTTGTATCTACAGTGCATCTAAAATTAGTGATGCTTTTGTTTGTATTGTTTTGCACTTGTAATGAGCAGCAATGCATCTACTTTGCAACAGAAAAGAAATGAATAGATTATGTATGTAGTAAGTTATATATTCAGAGCAGCAGCAATATTAGAAATACACCGATAAGCCATAACATTATGAGCACTGACAGGTGAAGTGAATAACACTGATTATCTGGTTATCATGGCACCTGTCAGTGGGTGGGATATATCAGGCAGCAAGTGAACATTTTGTCCTCAAAGTTGATGCGTTAGAAGCAGGAAAAATGGGAAGCGTGAGGATTTGAGCGACTTTGAGCTACTAGAGCTCAAACTGCTGAAAAAGTGAATGCTGGTTCTGATAGAAAGGTGTCAGAACACAGTGTATCACAGTTTATTGGTATGGGGCTGCATAACATTATGACCACCAGGGCGCCCAGGTGGTCATAATGTTATGGCTGATCAGTATATACCGTAACCCTGGTTCAATTAAAGAATAGGCTAGAAGTAATTTCCTTTACATTGTGCAAATTCAGTTGTACCACAACCTACAGGGCCATCACTCAAATCACTACCCAAGCCAAAGGCCCAAAACTTGAATATGTGACTTGAGTTTGTTTCTGACCTAAATACTAAGTTAACTCCTACTCTCCAGCAGGGGTTGCTGTTTCACTGCAGTGAGAGATTCCAGAAGGAAAGTGTAATTTAAACACACTAATTTGCATACTTTTGCTTGGCTGACTAAGACGGATCATTTGTCATTTAGTTGGTAGACTGAATTAAGATGTTTTAAGTCATCAACAAAAGATTATCATAAACCAATCAGCCATAACATTATGACCACCTGGACAACCTGGTGGTCAGAGTTTTCTGCAGCCCCATACCAACAAACTGTGATGCACTATATGTTCGGACACCTTTCTATCAGAACCAGCATTCACTTTTTCAGCAGTTTAAGCTCTAGTAGCTCTTCTGTTGGATTTGACCACACGAGCCAGCCTTCACTTAGAGTACATTTAGAAATACTGAGGTCTAAAATATGAACTTTTGGGGGGCATGCATTAAACCAAAATTATTTTAAGTCAATTATTTCACGACTTTGGTTGAATACCCCTCAGAAAAAATACAGAGGTCTCGAGCTTGGTAACCTTATTGATGGGTACAGTTATGGTATGCAATAAGATGTAAGGGTACATACAAATAAACATTAAACAAAAATATAATTCATAAATAAAATCACTCACTGAAAATAAGTAGAGAAATCTTTTCTGACTTTGAATCATTAATGTCAAGGCCTGGTTTTAAATAGCATAATTATCATTATACACCAGTTCTCAGTTATAATCTGATTTTATGTAGACTATTAGATCCAGAACCATCCCACACAGACCAAAACAATATCAATTTCTGCACTTAATCTAACTCCCTACAGTGGTGAGGAATAGTGAATATGAAGACTACTGTCCTTCAGCAAGAATCTTTACCAGCTATAATGGTGTTGTGGTGCTGTTTTGTAGCAGAGTCTGTGCTTCCACCTCCCTGTGGAATCATTTACATTATCATTGCAAATGCCAACCTACAGCACAGACATAATACCCCCAGGTAAGCCCACATGGCTCATGCAGTGTTCTAACCCATGCAACAGAAAGTGCTCAACAAAACAAATAAGGAAACAGACATAAAGCACAAATATTAGTAATTTAGTTATTTGCTAATGTAAATAAAGATAATATACCACCGGTGCTCTTGGAGTTGTTTTTCTGTGGGTTTCATTCATTCCATGCATGTCCAGAATTGTATAGACCAAAAGCAGAAGATTGACTTTGCTCAGAGGTGGCCATTATTTACTCATTATTATTTACACTTACAAATGAGTAAGAGCATAAAAAAGCAATTTGGATTGTAATTGGCTCCAAACAACTTTATTCTCCATCATAAATACTTTCTGCACTTTAAGTTAACTGGTACAAATACATTGTCACAATTGTAATTAATTAAAAAATAATTAATGTAAATGTAAATAATTGTAAGACAAGACAAGCAGATATCAATTACACACTTTTTCTATATATGAAAATGTTAACTAAATTCTAATTTCAGAGTTTGGTAAACTCAATCACTCAAAAATGTCATCCATCTAGTTAAGGTAGGTGAACAACGAATAAAACGTGACAATGTGTGTGACTGCTGAGAATATAACCTTGCACACTTGCAAAACAAGGTTTTATTTTAGATATTGAATAGCCCATTTAAAGATTCATACAATGAGTACATTTTGTTTCTTTATTAGATATATGGCTTTTCATCAGGTTAAATTTGTCATGCATAGTATTCTCTATGTAATTCAATTCAATTCAATTTAATTATTTTTGTACAGCGCCAATTCATAACAGAAGTTATCTCAGGACACTTTTCAAATAGAGCAGGTCTAGACCGAACTCCTTATAACATTTACAGAGACCCAACAGTACCACCATGAGCAAGCACTTGGCGACAGGGGCAAAGAAAAACTGCCTGTTAAGAGGCAGAAACCTAGGACAGACCCCGGCTCTAGGTGGGTGGTCGTCTGCCTCAACCAGTTGGGGTGAGAAAGAGAGAGAGAGAGAGAGAGAGAGAGAGAGAGAGAGAGAGAGAGAGAGAGAGAGAGACAGAGACAGAGACAGAGACAGACAGACAGGTGCACAGCATCAACAGTAGCAACAACTACACTAATAGTAGTGACTGATGATGATGAACATGAAGAAGATGATGACGACGACAACAGCCACGATGGGGGACAATGAGCAGTGACAATAGTAATAATAGTAACTGTAGTAATAATAATATTAATAATAATAATAATAACAATAATATCAGTGATATTGACAATGGCAGTCAAGCAGGACCATGGTAGGAGGCCCCACCAGGATCCACGAGGACCTGCGAGATGAGAAAGCACAAGAACTCCGGGGAAGAATCAATTCCTTCACCTCACACCTATCAGTAAACTCAGCAGTGCAAGGTAGGTGCCTATGTAATAGTCTAATCCTTGTCATTTTAACAAAGAAATCATATTCTGATGAAAGTCTGCAGGAACTGAAGAGTTAGTGGGCTGATTCAATACATTTCTTGACTGCAGTAGGAGTGTGTGTACTTTTATGTAAGCTATTGAGCACCTCACCCTTCATACTGTAAGACCATTCCTCCCTGCATGCTAAAAGTAGTAATATGATGGAAATGACGCCCCTGTGTTTTCTACCCAGTGTGCTACGTGTATGAAAAAGTTTGCTTGAAGCATCCATGCATCCAACCATCAAATTTTCAATCATTTATCCTGGTCAGCATCCTGGGCACTGGCCAATCCAAGCTTAAGCTTACAATGGGAAGAGACAGTTACACCCTGGATTGATCAGCAGTTGCGTTCTGAACTGGTGAAGAGACACCTGCCTGATACCAGAAGAAAGTACATTACAGTGTGTTGCATGCAAGAAAAAATATAGGCACATAGTCTATAAATTAACTTTAAAAAATGACCTCTTATCACCTGTTATCATCTGTCAACAAAGGCCATTATGGAAAGCTAGTAAAGCTGGCCCTTCTCCCTCGCCTTGCCTCACACTGTCACTGCCTGCCAGTCTCTAATTTTCCCTCTCCCCTCTCCATTAATATTCATCAGAAAGAGCTTCAGTCTAGACAAGCTTCTGACAGTTAATCTAAGGCCACCATGACAAAGGCCTTAAACAGAAATCTACAGGCCAGTTGGCTATAAGTGGTCTCTCTGTCTTGCTTCTTTGTTTGTCTTTCTCACTTTGTCTCATTCTGCCGCTCTCGTCTCTACACCAAACAAGTTCACCATTGACAGAATCATTGAGATGAACTCTTTTTTTTAACGCCTCACAATCTTCAACTGAGATTCTGATTCAGAATCTACTTTTAAAGCTAATTAGGACAAGAGCTGCTTCTCTCATGGAGTAATGGTCCTATTCTGTATTAACTGAGCCCACCTTCTCCCTCCCACTCCAGCTCACCAACAGTGCTTCACTCTGCATAGATTAGAATGGGAAAGTCAGATTTCCCTCATGAGCTTTCCCAAAACGGCATTGATGCAACACAATGAGTCTTTTCTTGGTCCTCTTGCTGCATGCTTTGTCATCATCCTAGATGGGATTTAGATAGGAGGCAGGATATTAAGTGTCGAGTAAGACAGTGAGAGAATGAGAGTGGTAGGAGGGGAGAATCAAGAGGACAGGGAGAAGAAGAGAGGAAATAAAGGGTGAGTGAGGGGCCTAACATCTTAGCATCAACATTTATTGAACATCAGAGGCAGATATATATTATATCTTATTTTTTGGAGCATAACATTTGCTTTAGATTAGTGAAATTATTTATCTGCTTCCTCTCTTCTCTTCTTCATCAGTTAACCCACAGTTATGTGTAAATAATCAAGATTTAAAAAAAAAAAATTAAATTGAGTAAAACTTTGATTATTTCTTAATGGACTATGTTCATCATCCAGATTTGTGTTATCATTTAAAAAAAAACCCTTTAAAAGTGCTTTGTCAGTGAAGGTACAACACAAACACAGTGGCATGGTACACACGCAAACCCTTGCACAACACACACACCTTATTCCACTTGTTTAGTATTGAATACATGAATACATTTATTTATCTTCATCACTGGGTGTGTAAATGCACTTTAAATGAGGTAAAAGTAAGTGTCTGTTGTTCGACACTCAATATCCCTGCTTGATGCTCTCAATTGCGGCCCAGCGCCAGTGCACCCTAGTGCCATTGTCCTCCAAAAGAAAAACCATTTGCCCAGTCACCCCTACCCCATGTGCCACCGTTGTCATGGTTTCTATGGAGACGCTTTCCTCCAGACCAAACATGTGGAGGGCACCCCTCCAGCGGAAGGGGGTGGAATAACATTGTGGCAAGGCAATCATACACCAACCTCATTTACATATCCAAACATGAACCATGGACCGTGGCATACAGTGTTTGTTCACTAAACATTTCACTGTAGTTGATTAAACCCAGCTGTAAATGGAGCACAGACATATGATTTTTATTTTTAATCAACAGAAAGATTTGATTTTCAAGCTAATGAAGACCGATGATAAAAGTTGACAGTAAAATACTTATTTTCTCAGAGAATGTAGAAAATATCTTTCTTTGTGCACTGGTATTGCTCAGCATTCTGATCACCATTGCTTCCTTTGTAGCGTTGACGTGAATGATGCATGCTTGTGTCTGGGCCTGATGTGGTCACTCCTCCAGCTGGGGGCACTGTTTCATCTGTCTGTCAGCCAGTCTGTGGTATTTCCTTACCTATTCAGGAGATGCTCTGCTGTCAGATGGAGCTGTGTGTCTCTGACCTTGAGGAATATGAAAGACAGTCACCATGGAGGCTACTGTACTCAGCATTCAAATGCACAAACCTCACAGACTCAAGACTGTACCAGTTGTAGCCTAGAGACAAGGACACAAACAGAGGGGAATAAACGAGGTGACAAATGACTTTTTTCTGTATAACCACACAACTGCTAACACTATACTTCTTTAAAAATACTTTTGAAGCTGCGCATATGATTTGGTAATTATTTTGGCTTTATTTTAAGTCAGATGCAATTAGTTTACAACTGACACGGATAAATAAAGCTTAATAGACAGACTTAATATAACAGAAAACAGGACAGTTTATCTTACTCCATGAAATACTTCAAGAGACAGACCTTCAGCTAACCATCATTAACATATTTCACTTGGCAGTAATTGCAACACTAATTGATTGCCACACAGTCACACTAATTTCCATCTAATCCAGTGCTGAATTTCCAACAGTCAGACCCACCGCTGTAAGGATGACATTAATAAAATGTGTTTTAAATCATTGAAATTCTATTTTCTAACGCTAATGGTCAAAAGAGCCCATAATCATAAATACATTTTAAATAAAGGCCGAAAACGTAAAGACCCAATTAAAAGATTTTATAATGATCCTGTCACCACTTATTTAACACATAAAATACAAACTTGTGTTGGTGCATGTATCATTTTGGCGTATGAACACTTGCACCACAGAATGGCTAATGAAACCATCAATATACATTTATTTCCAATTCACTGTTCCTTAGAAAAAAACATTCATCTAGTGGTAACTGCAGACTAGATACTTGTGCTTACATACATGATGCTTCACCTAAAATTTCTTGTAGCAGTGACTGTAATCTTCCACTAAGCATAGTGTTCTTTAAGAAAGATGGTAATAAATAATAACTACTATCATTAGACAGCACACATAAAATATTTACATCCAGTACTAATTCAATTTCACTGTTGACTATTACAGCTTATGTGGCCTCCATAAGCAGGTACAAATCACTTTGGCAAAACATCATGTACCCGGCAGAACCCAAAATCATTATTGTTAACTATTACAACAACTTTAAGAGGGTTCCTTTAGAGCAGTAACATCAGGCTGAGAGGACCCAAACCAGCCAAGTCTAGATCACTGGTGCTCAAGAGAGGAAAGGTGGTCGACACCTTTCATTTCAGCATTGGAGGTGTCACCATCCCCCACAGAGTCTCTGCAATGTGTTTGACAGCACCCTGAGGTATACATCGGCCATCCAGTCCATCTGCATTCCTTTGGAGAGCAGGATCCAGGTTCAGGATTGCCAGGAAAGTTTATAATATGGTTGTTCCCTCATGGTATGCTGCCCAGAATCTTGTGGCCATCCCCCGGTGTACGAGGTGCCAGTTGCGACAGTTGAGATCCTGGAAAGGAAAATAACTGAGCAATATCACACTCTATAGATACAACAAAAAGCTACAACTGCCACTCAGATCCTTAGAAGAGGAATTCAAGGTGATAAGAACTAGGCAGGGAGTTGATTGACCTAAAAGTGGCCAAAGCTGGAATTAAGGTGAGGACTGGGAGGAAATGGCAAGCAGAGGAAGCCGTTCAACAGGCAGAGTCAAGGCTGAACCAAAGTAAACTGGCGGAAGTGGTGACTAAAGGCAGAACAGGGCTTGTATTTTTCAACTTTTCCGGATATACACTATCAAAGAGAAGGAGAAGAGCTGCCTGGCTCAGGGGGAGGCGAGAACAGCTGTAGAGGGGGCGAGATCGTGTGGAGAACCATGGAGCAAGTAGCTAGCCGTCTGGACACAAGCTGAGGTCTGGAGGTTGTCTGGAGGAGGGTGTATGGTGCTGAAAGACCCAAAACACCCAGTGATTCCAGCAACATCACTGAACATGTGTCCTGATGCACCAGCAGATGTACTTGTGCATCATTTACAGTAATGTTGACATACAAGACAAACACAATGAGAATGAGAATATTTTGATAAAAGGCACCCTGTATTTCTTCAGTTGATTGGAGAATATTCTTGAAACAGCATAAGTGCACTGGAAACAAGTATTTTCATCCCATGCAGTTATTTTCAGAAGCCTTTTATGCCTCCGTGAACACAACAATTACTAAAATTCACATTTTCTGGACAACAGCAGAGATGTTTAGCTCCTTGCCAATCAATTACTGTATTGAAGTAGAAAAATCTAATTTGTTTTCAACGGAAAAACAGCAACACCAACCTATCTCTTACTGCCAAGAGAAACTACAAAAACCTCTTGCTGTTTGACTCAAGCCAGACAAGTTTACTATCCTAATTGGTCTCAGTGGGCAGAGCATCAAATGGGTAAATAATTTTCTCAGCAATTGGCCTGCTCTATCTTTGGATATCCTGACTTTCCTTTTCTTGACTGTGAAAGGAAAGCTGTGCCCGTTGGAACAATGTAATTCATAGAGCACATTGTTTTTATCTGGTACAAAACTGCTTTAAATGGGTAATGAGAAACCAGCGTTCAATCACAGAGCCACCAATCTTCTAATGCATATCAACCAGAGTGCGTGGCCAGCCGTTTCAGTCGGGGGGTAACAAATTGCAGATGGGGTTTCAACTGTTGCTGCTGCATGTTGGATTGTGGTTTAGGGAATCAGGTTACTCATAATTAAGAACATAGCTCGGAGCAGGTCGTACCCGCCACCGGATCAGCTTTTGTGGTTCTGACGGTTATTTTACTTCTGTTTGTCTGGCTCATGGCCAAATCTCCAGCAAATAGTAAAGTGTCAACACTTTATGAAAAAAAAAATGAACTAAAGCAATTTCTTATAGATTGATTGTGCATTCACATCGTAGCACTTTTGTAGAGTGACTTGCGAGCAGCTGGTAGTTTGTGTTCATCATTTTACAGGAGCTGGGGAGAAAAAAGGAGAGGCAGGGAAATTAAAGCTTGACCACAATCACAGAGGACACAGCAGTGCTATTAGTTTTCCAATGCAATCACATAATCCGATGGCCCAGACACTTGCTTCAATCAGACACCTGGGAAATGCATCCATCCCGTTTGATTTCATCAGCTCAAATCAATCTTATATCAGTATTAAATGAGTATGCTCAGATGAGAAATCTGACTGGACAAGAAATGATTACCAAAGGGAACTCCTTCAGTACTACCTTTTATCATTTCCATCTTTCTTCTCCATGTTGAAGGTAATTCATGAGACATATTGTAAATCCATCTTGAAAAATCATAAGGAGGCTGTATTTGAAAGTGTTTCACTAAAATTCAAACATGACTTCATGATGCTCTTTATTCATCCTAGAAATCAATTTCTAAGTAAATGTCACATCAAAAAGTGTACATTGCACTTTGGAACTTCAGAGAACAATTCAATGTGCATTACAGTGTAACAAGTAGCAGCTTTGATGTACATGTAGGTTGTATAGCCATATCTGACTGGTTATAGCCTTTGTGCTGTTCTCCCCTGCTCTATCTTTGTATGCTAGTGAATGTGGGGATGCTGCTGGTATCAGTGATGCTGAGAGTGCTGCACGAGGCGAGTCTTTGTCTGCTCTGGGAAGGCTGGGCTCCAGCTGGCTCCCACTATGTGCAAAAGTCAGTGGGTCCCTCAGCACTCAGTGCAGGAGGGGAGCTGGTTGATTGATTGGGATGCAGACCACCAACGCCCCCCCCCCACACACACACACAAACCCCCGTCGCCCCCTCCCCTCCTCTCGCCTGTTCTTGCTTAGAGAGCACATGTGCCTCTCCTGCTCTCCATTTTTTTTTTTTTTAACCCAGACCTGCTTTATTACACGGGCATAAACAAAGGTGCACGTTCACACTCAAACACTGGAGACAACTAACAGCCAGCAGTATCTTGGCGGTATTATGTGGATGAGTGAGAGTAGATTCTGCATGATTAGAACATGCAGAAACGTGTGTATCTGGATGTGTGTGCGCTCATAAACATAACCTGTCTCCAACATTAGGTTCATTCGGGACAGCACATTTGCAGTCATTACAGATAACCGCTTAGCCAGACCATTCTCCACACTTCGTTTTGCTCTAGCAGAACCATTACCCTAACGAATTCATCATTCCAGACAGAGAGAGAGAGAGAGAGAGAGAGAGAGAGAGAGAGAGGGCGCCTGGGGTAAAATGTATTTTGACAAATGTGGTATTGCAAGTGTTTCCACGGCGTGTCCGCTCTGAATGAAGCTCCCGAGTGTTCGTAGGAAGCATGGAGTTGGACAAAAAGGAGGAAGAAGGGGTGTGCTAGAATCACCGACAGCTTTTCAGGACTCCAGCGACGAGCCAGCCAGCCAGTGTCTGGTGAACGTGCGTGTGCGCGTATGTGCGCGCGCTTGTGTGCGGCCATGCGTGTGTGTGTGTGTGTGTGTGTGGACCAGCAGCCAACACACACTTAACATTCGTTCGCAACATGGCGTTGAAGCGCCGAGAGACACGACGGCTCTCCCCCGACTAATGCAGCCTTATTGTTTGGAAAGCCAGGGGACTGTTAACCAAAGAGACCTAAACACTCACAGAGACTCCTTTACGCACCGGCGGAGACAATAGCGGATTCCAACGTATGCATGTCGCTATAACGGTATAGCTGGTTGTATAGACGTACGCTGCTATCCCACTGGTGGAAATCAAAGGCTGTACATGGCGGTGGAGAGTACAATTTGGCTGTTCTGTCTTCTTTCGCTGTTTTGTGGTCCATCCAAGCAAGGTAAAGCGCCCACTTTAATCATCTGCATGGGTTTTTTTTTCTGAGGGGTGCATGTGTGAAGCAGCGGGCCACTCATATTACACTGAAGTGCAGTTACTCAGAACATTAAGTGGGCTGTGATAAAAGATAGGACAGAGCTACTGGGTGAATGTGCACCTTGCACGGATACGTGCTTTATCCCCTCCGGGTTCTGTGTTCACCTCATGTGGCCTCTCCGGTGAGTATGAGGTTGTACTGTTACTTCATGGGTGTCTCTCTCAGGACAGAGCTGTAAGTTGCGGCACATTGTCCAAGGAGCAGCCCCGAATGTTGCCAGAGAACGGCCACAGGGATTTGAACTGACCGGGGAAGTTTCGGATCAAACAGAGGATGGGGCTCACCATGAGGACATGAGGGCTCGGCCCTGGTGTTTAATAAGAGCGGAGCGCCCTGGAAGCAGCTCAGTCTTCAATGCATTCATTGCTTTGCCAATAAAAATCTGAACTTTTTTCCCCCTCACAGTTTATTAACCTAGACCGAGTGCGCATGGGACGTCTGGTGTTCGCCACTGGCTCAGTTGAGTGAGGATTTTGAGGAAAGAGTGTCATTAAAAGGACATCTTTGGCTTCATAAAGCTGAAGAAGGATGTGTCTGAGAGCAGATAGTGGACGATGCACAGTAGAAGTTGTATTTCCCACATTGCTGGTGCTGAGAGTGGAAGTGTGCTGGTTGGAGAGGAAAGTCTGCCCACACAGGTGGTGTGGAGTGGCTGAAAGAGTGGCCAAGATTTGCATGACAAAGACCTGTGCAGAATACCTGTGGAGGTTATACAGTTAAATGCTCTTTGCACAGAAAAATCTGATACAACATAATAGAACAGTGAACCTGTCATGCATTTATTTTCTTCAAGCTACCATTGACATGTAATAGTGATGTAGTGAAGAGAAACAGTCTAATCAGAATATATTACTCGCATTATCTTTGTATGTTTAGGAAGTGAAATGCTGTTTCAGTCGTCATGAGACTGTGTATGTAAAACTGTAGCTTTAACTCTCACATAGTTGTACTGATCTGCTTTCCACAACTGTGTGACAGCATAAGAGACAAAGTGAAATGTTCATAGCTGCTCAAAGTTTAAAGTACTCAGGATTAACACATTAACAGGTTGGTATTTATCTGTTAAGAGCCTATCATGAGGACCAGTCAAAAGACACACACACACACACACACACACACACACACACACACACACACACACACATACACACAGTCCCACTCTGTGCACAGTATGTGTGGAGAGAGAGAAGGAGAGAGAGAGAGAGAGAGAGAGAGAGAGAGAGAGAGAAAGAGAGAGATGGCACACTACAGTACTTTTGTTATTTATCTTCTTTGGACTAAGATCTCAAAGAGGTGGCATTCCTGCACTTAGCAGACTAAAATGACTCCTAAAAACATATATAATGTATTTAAATCTATACGTTTTTATAATTTCACTGCAGAACATGAACGAGCAACTACTCTGAAAATTGATTGTGTAATTCTTAAAGCAAAAATGCCAAATCATTATCCACTTCTCAAATCTTTTTGTTTATTATAAAACAAGGAATTTAAAGATGCCAAATATGGGTTGGTTTTTGCTTCATGTACATAGAGCCCTCTGAAAATACATCTGCTGTCAAATTTAACTAATTCAGTTAGGCCATGGAAATACTACGCGAGCTATTATTTTAAGCGGCTCAGAGGCAGTGCGGGTTGTCCACTATTCGGAAGGTTGTTAGTTCGATTCCTGGCTCCTCCCGCAACATGTCTAAGTATCCTTGAGCAAGATACTGAACCCCGAATTGCTCCCGATGATGTGCATCGGTGTGTGAATGAGTTAGTTTCTGTTGGATGGGCTTTGCCATCACTGAGTGAATGTGTGTGAAAGGGTGAATGTGGCATGTAGTGTAAAAGTGCTTTGAGTGCTCGGAAGACTAGAAAGGCGCTATACAAGTACAGGAAGTACATGATTTGGAATTTGCTGCGGTTTATTTATTTACCAGGGACAATAAACATTAATCAGCATTGCGGTTTACACGTCAATGTAAATGTGCCAGAGTTAGCTAATAAGCTAATGTTCATCTGTTGTCCCTGGGCAGGTTATGGCCCAATGTCATCAGTACAGTGCTTCAACAAGTACTACATTACAAAAGTAACAACAACATATAAAAAATATCAGTTCATTGCATCAGTGGAAAAACTAGATAAAGATAGTTTTGACAGGAGTACCGCTTGGTTCACCGTGTCAAAAGCCTTCTTAAAATACAGAAAAGCTGCACCTATTTCACCACCCTTGTAGAAAGTAGCAGTTGGCTGTTTCTGTGGAGTGATTGGAATGGAATCCAAATTGCATTGGCTGCAAAGGGGAGTGACCTGTGGTAAGGTGAGCGGTCAGCTGCTTTGTTACCCATTTCCTCCTTCGAGACTACAGGTATGATACTGATGGCTCTGTAGTTTCACACAGTTGTTTTGTCACCAGCCTTGAGAATGGGCGTCACAACAGTTGAATTCCAGGTGCTAAGAAAAATCCCCTTGCTTAATTGACAAATTAATCAGGTGGGCAATGGGACAGACTAGGACATCCTTGTGTGTTTTAAAAAAAACGCGGTATCCAAACCACAAGGATCCTTTGCTTTAGAGTCTCTTAGAGAGTTTATAATGTTTACAACTGCAGATTCAGTTTTTTCTGTTATTTTAAAAGTTGGTTTGTCATTATTAACGGGGGTGCAAGCTATGGCCCTGGAAGAGTGGCTTTGACCTTATTTTGAAAGGATTTAAAAAATATGCCTGTCACAACTATTTCCTGATTGAAGTGCTCTTTTCAAAGCAAAGTCTCGCTCTGTCATTTGTCGCCAGAAGGTCTCACTGAGCCATGGTAAAGTGTTAGTTTGTCTAGGTTTGTGTTGCACCTTCCTTGTGATGGAGGTCATTGCTTTGTTCATAGTTGTCAAAATGTATTGCAGCTGTTCTCAATGTCTTCACTGGATAGTTTGGGCAGTTTCCGACTTATTTATTTAATTTCTGGGAATTTTCTGGTGGTATTGTTTTGTTTTGATAGTATTTCAAACCATTTTCTGGTGAGTTTCCGTACCAATAGTGTAATATTATGGTCAGATAAACCAGTTAGTAGGTTATAGGATTTTGTTATTTTTTCAGGTCTGTTCGAGAACATCAGCTCACGTTGCTGAAGAACTGGTTACTCTTACTCTAAGACTGAACTGGTCTGTTATCTTCTTAAATTTTTTCCTATCGGATTTATTATCCCAGTTGATGTTAAAATCACCCATAAGTATAAGTTATTTTCTACCATCACATTCTTTACGAATGCTGTGTACATGTTCATAAAACAAGCTGTTAGATGATGGCGGTCGATATAAACAATAACAATAAAATACATTTCTGGAGACAATGACACATTCAATCCGATACATTGCAGATCAGTTTCATGGACCATTCGAAAAGACTGCATTTGATTGTCTCTTTAACATAGATTAATAAACCTCGCCCTCTACCCATGTCTCTCTATCCCTTCTACACACATTGTACCTAAAGACATTAAAATCAGCCATGGGAAAATAATTTATTCAGCCATGTTTCCAAGATGCCGAGAAAATACAGGTTAGAGTCAGTAGATGTTTCAGTTATTTGCTTTTGGAGACAATGCTGCAGATATTTAAATGTCCGCCTACTAATCCTTCAGGTTTGGAGCATGGATCCCAGAGAATTTTTGTGGTGTTTTCTGATTTCTGGATTTAGCCCCTTTTAGTTTGGGAGCAGACTGTTTAACAGGACTCATAGTTTGATTAATATTCCCCAGTGAAGGTGGCACGGTCAAAGTTTTGGTACTCACCGCTGCCAGCTGTCCATACACACGAGTATCCTTGTGCCGCCCAGTTGCAATATCACTGTTGTAAATATGGACAACTGTACAAATGCATTTGTTAAGATTACATTACTCGTCATCAAAAACTCATTGATTGACACATCCAAACATCAAGCAAGTGCAACAACACTAGATGCAGCAAGCCAACTAATATTACTTAAGCCAAGCTAACTAGCTAACAGCAGTCACATTTCACAGCAGTTACTGTACTGTCCATCAAGAAACTATGTTAATCATCATCGAGAGTTGAGGCGGAGCAGCCGGAGCACATCAAAGCGAAAACCATAACTTTTCTTTACTGTGTGACTTACTGGCGTAAAGCGTTGTACACTTGTTCGGACCCTGAGCCAAAAGTCATTGAGTGCAGGAAAAGGAGCATGGGGCGCAAAGTGGGAATGACAGAGCTACTATGTACCCTATTACAACTTACTTTAGCTCCAAAATTAGTTTTAAGCTGTTATGTATGTCATCTTTCTGTGATGTTGTTTGTGGGTGTTGTCTCTCTTCCTGCAACAGCACAAACAGATTGTCTCATCAGTATTTTGTCCTTCTCTTGTGTGGCGGTTGCCTGTACAGAGCTCCAGTATGCTGCTGCTGCAACTCTACTATGAAATGTTCTGCATTAATTGCTACCAGTACAATGTTGAGAAATAAAGGAATATTTTGCAATGATTGGTGTGGGAGTGAAACATCCAGTGTAGAGAATTGAATTTATCAGAAACTCTGAAGTACTTCCACAACTCCAGGTAGACGCCACCCCCCTCTGAGATGTACTGTACTGTAATTTGATTACATAAGTTTCATTATTCATTGTTCAGTTCAGGCCTTAAATGGGAGGCAACTAGAGGTATGCCTCCTTGACTTCCATGGGATATAGTGGTAGTAGGTCAGAGGATACAATTTATATAGAGTTATATAGAGAAATTACCATGCCCTGCAGACTCCAGCAGAGACAGAATAAGGAATTACTCCCCTTGAGAGCCTCCTGACAGGAGAGTGAGTGCCACACTGGGAGTGATCATATCCAGGTGATGAAATCTCTAGCAGGTAAATGGCAATTGTGATGGAGGTTGTCTGTGATAAGAGTAAAGAGGATAGG